GGAACGAGAACAGAGCTCGGTTGAGGGATGTGGAATAAAGGGGGACGATTTCTTGGGACGGTTTTGGCGTGGTTTGCCGGAACGGGGTGCGCAAGTGGTGAAGCTCCAACTCAGCACGAACGCACCAGACATGTGGCCTCATCGACCTCGTCCTCGGTACGTACTGCGCAATGCAGTAGCATCTGTGCCGCCTTGCGCCGCCAACTTTAGAATTCACGTCCATGTCCAGATCCAGCCACCCTCAGGTTGAGCTGACCCCCTGCATGCCGTCTCTTTTTTCTTCAATCATCTCTCCGAACCCCCATGGTCCTTGAGCTAGTAGTACCTAGCACTGGTAGCTAGCGTGCTCCAGGGCCCCAAGACCCTGGTGCCCCCAGCGCGTTTGTTTCCTCGTGTTTCCCCGTCGATTGATTGTCTGTCCCTGGCATATATGCATGTATGTTTGTTGTATGCCTGCGATGTGCTCCGTAGCATTTTAAGAATACCGTTCCCGGACAGGCATGCTCATCCCAGTCCGTCCATCTATCTTGCGATTCTGGGATCGAAAAGTGAGACAAAATCTGCCGTGATGGGTTCGCGACTGCATGGAACCGGAGGCATACTCTATTTTTGTATTGGTGCTGGAGCATGCTCGATTCTATTCTGCAATCACAGCCCTAGTGTCAAAGCGGCAATCTTCTTTTCATCAATTTCTGCGGGCGTGTCCATTTTGTCCCTGGCAGACTAGCATCCGCTCACAGGAAAGTTTGCCGAATAACAATTAAGCTAGACTTAGCCGTCCTCAGCCTGCTGATTCTAAAACCACTGGTGCTCCAATGCGGAAATTTATCCACTTGCTGTTGGCCCGTCCGCTCCCTCGCCGCACCACCAGGGAGTCCCGGAGCTCAGGCGCTCTCGTCTCTTTTTGTAGGTTTATCTCAGGTCTGTAGCAGGCTCTTGGCATGTGGGCAGAGAGCTGTCCTCAATACGAACCTATTCTCTTTCTAAACAGCGTGTTGAATTGGCGCTTGGAGGAAACGCTGTGCAGATGCTATCAATCGGATGATACCTGGTGAATGCGCAGTGACAATTTTCGAAAAGTGGCCGGCTTCGCGGATAGAAACTAGCATATCCCAAGATCGAGCATCTCAAGGAGAAGATGTTCCTGCCGCTCCCCATGGAATAGCAGAGGCAACACGACAGTGGTGAACTATCCAAGGTTGGAGGAAGAGCCTGAGCCACAGTGGCGCTGGACCGGGTTGGGTGACGGATCAATGTATATCCGCTACGCCGCGAGGGTGAATCTCACTCCTGGGAAATTTCGTGGTTGGCAGGGACGAGAGCTTCGCGACAGTTCTAACAATTTCAAATCATCCTACCATTTACGGCACAGCATGGCTGCCGCTACGACAAATGGCGAGTCGTCTGCGGCTCTAGATGAGTTGAAGCCTCCTTCCGGCGTTGTCCTTCCTCCACGCGAAATACGCAATATTCTGGAAAAGACTGCTGGTTACGTCGCAAGAAACGGCGCCATCTTCGAGGATCGCATTCGAGATAAGGAGTCAGCAAATCCGAAATTCAGCTTTTTGAACCCTGCCGACGCGTACCATGCATTTTATCAATGGCGACTGGCCGAAATAAAATCTGGGAGAGGGACGGATGTCGCCGCCGGCCGCGCAGGCGAAGCCGCTGCGGAACCAGAGAAGCCAAAAGGGCCTCCAAAGCCTCCCGACTTTGAATTCTCTGCGCGCATGCCTCGTATTAACCAGAAGGATTTGGAGGTCATTCGTCTGACGGCACTATTCGTCGCCAAGAATGGACGGCAATTCATGACCCAACTGGCCCAGCGAGAGACGGGCAACCCGCAGTTCCAGTTCCTTATCCCAAACCATACGTTTCACAATTTTTTCCAGCACCTCATTGATCAGTACACCACACTCATACGAGCTGCCGGGCTTGACGGCGAGGGCGGCAAGCTTCAAGAAGAGAAAACCGCCGAGCTGGAGCGCAACGTGAATGACAAGTATTGTGTGTTGACTCGGGCTAGGCAACGAGCTGATTACGCCAAATTTCAGGAATTGGAACGTCAGAAGAAGGAGGAGGAAGAGGAAAAGAAAAAGGAAGAATTTTCGCGCATCGACTGGGGCGACTTTGTCGTGGTAGAGACTATCACCTTTACCGAAGCGGACGAGACGGCAAACCTACCACCGCCGACCAACCTGTCCGAGCTCCAGTATGCCTCTCTCGAAGACAGAAACAAGGCCTCACTAAGCATGCTACGTATTGAAGAAGCCATGCCGGGTGAAGAATTTAGTGTTGGGAGTGGTCCTGCTGTTATACCATATGCACCTTCACCTGTTCCCCCTCAGCCAAGTTATGGTGCACAGCAACCCGCACAAACTTATTCTCAACCGGGCCAGATGCCTGCCGTACAAGCACCCCCCAATGGCTACCAGCCACAGAGATCTTCTCAGGAGGAAGAGGAAGCTCGTCGCATCCAGGAACGAGCTGACGCCCAAGCCCGCATCCAACAAGCACAATCGGAAGCAAGAGGCGGTGCGCCGCCAATGAAAATCCGAGAGAACTATGTGCCTCGGGCGGCGCAACGAGGCAAGCAAGCTGGCCAGACTGCCCTCTGCCCCAATTGCAAACAGCAGATTCCTATCAATGAGCTCGAAGCTCATATGCGGAGTACGTACTTTTCATGCAAGTCTATTTGGTTTCATACTCCCGCGAGACTAACATACGTATAGTTGAACTTCTGGATCCCAGATGGAAAGAGCAAAAGGCGGCAGCAGAGTCACGGTACTCGGCGACTATTACAGGTTCTGAAATTGCCCAAAACCTCAAGCGTCTCGCGAGTCAACGAAACGATGTGTTTGACCCTGCGACTGGTCAGGCCATGTCCGAAGATGAGTTGGCAAGGCGGAAGAAGGCTGCATTAAACCCGGCCGACGCTCAGCAGGAGAGCAAGCCGCAAGCGATGAATCCACAAACTGTCAATGTCGAAGAGCAAATTCGGGCTATTCACCAGAAATTTGCAGGCGACAGGAAGTAGAGGCGAGGTGTCTAGTGCGCAGCCTGCAGTAACTGTGCAATAACTATGGCCGCTGTTGGTACGGGAGGGGGGAAAGCATACAAAAGCAAGACTACATTTGCGTGGAGAAAATACCAGCGGGAAAGTGCGGTTCAGTTTGCAGGATGATGTTGTACATTAACTATACCAGGCATGGGGAGAGGTGTTCACTGTTGGCGCGGCGTTACTTGGGAATATAATCAAGACGGGAAGGCTGCGGTCTGGCCATGGTCATAGCCTCTTTATGGGACACTGATTTAAATGCGTTGCTTACATTGTACACCATACCAGATGACCGCATGCCTACCTCTAGGTACTTGGGTAGTATTAACGGGTGGTGGGCTCATGGTTGTCAACTCACTCACTCGTGCAGGCGGGTCGATTTGACGTAAGACCCCAGCGCCATGTCATTCATGTTGATTCATCCACCAAGCCCAAGAATTTCTCCAGTCAAGTGTCCCTCCACGCACCATCACCCCACCTGAGCACCTTGGGAACACTTGAGCGCTCGCACTCCGACTCCTCATCGACAAAGAAGGCTCCCACGATTCGCGGCACATGCGCCAAATCACACAACAAACTCCCTGATTAACCAACCACAGAGTCGCAAATATATCTGCGATCCTCACAACCTGCCCGACCTCAACTCCTCCACCCTGAAGGACAAAGCCACCGCACACGCGCGAGCCAGCTTCGTCAGCTCCTCACCACAGTCCTCCCCTTCGCCGTCCTCCAAAAACCGCCAATCTGTCTGGGCAGCAGAACTCCGGCCGGGCTGCCGACCATAAGCCCACGTCCTCTACGTCTCCCAACTCGCCGCCCAAGAGTCCCTCCTCGCTGCACCGGCCCATCATGCAGGCCATGCCGGATACCCGCCAGCAGAGCTTCGACGAGATTTACGGCCCGCCCGAGAATTTCCTGGAGATAGAGGTACAATTTTCCCATGGCCACCTCGGCGCTCCCTCCCACCACCTCCGCTACGGCCAGACTTGGGCGGTTACTAACCCCAGCCCTTTGGCTGCATCTAGGTTCGCAACCCCAGAACCCACGGCATCGGCCGGTCCATGTACACGGACTACGAGATCCTCTGCCGCACCAACATCCCCGCCTTCAAGCTGCGCCAGAGCAGCGTCCGCCGCCGATACTCGGATTTCGAATACTTCCGCGACATACTGGAGCGGGAGAGCGCGCGCGTGACCATCCCCCCTCTGCCTGGAAAAGTGTTTACCAATAGATTTAGCGACGATGTCATTGAGGGGCGGCGCGCGGGGCTGGAGAAGTTTTTGAAGATTGTCGTGGGACATCCGTTGCTGCAGACTGGTAGTAAGGTTTTGGCTGCGTTTGTGCAAGGTATGCGTTTTGCCTTGTGCGGTGGTGTTTTTGGAAGACGAGCTGACCGAACCGAAATAGATCCCAACTGGGACCGAAACGCATGGTGATGGACGTGGATGGATGTGATGAGAAACGGAAGGGGAGCGTCATGAAAGTTTGGGTTCGCGCATGAAGAGAGAGGCGGTGATGGAAGCATATTGCCTTTGCTTCGTTCAAAAGATTGGAATTTCACCACGGTGACTGTCATCTTTATATTGATTCGGTGTTTTGGTGGACTTGGCCTTTATTCCTTTCCCTAGTCATTCCCGGTTCAATTCCTACTTTGCAGCACTGCGTTTTTTCCTTGTCTCGATTGGCTACAGGTACCCGTGTGTTTGGTACGGCATAGCTTGCGCCGTGTATTTCAAATCTGTCCCGATACTATCGTCAATTGATTATTTACATAGGAAACCGGCTCCATGTCGGTGCCCGCTGCTATTTCTAGTCATCGGAACCAGACCCCAGGCTGAGTCATCCCCGCCCTACGGACGACAAAGCCCATGGCGACATGCATCTAATGTCACTCATCCCAACTTTGTACAAACCCCTCGGTGACCACTTGTCCAGCCCCGTGATGAGTGGCACCTGTTCGTCAATGCACTCGCCGAGCAGTACGCTGCTGCGGAGATTTCCAAGACGGCCCCTGACAGACTGCGGTCTACATCGGCAGCGTGGCGGCAGAACATGGACTGCGTCTGCGACCCAAAGCCCCGGGCTTGGATCGCGACGACGCATTAGACTCATGCCCCTCGGCGGCTCCATCACCTACGGCAGCAAATCCTCCGACGGCAACGGCTACAGAATGCCGTTGTGTAAGCTCCTCGCCGCAGACGGTCACGTTGTCGAGATGCTGGGCTCTCGACGGGCGGGCACCATGGCTCAAAACCGCCACGAGGGGTGGCGCGGGTTCCGAATCGACCAGCTCCAGGCCAAGGTTGTGCAGTCCGTGTCCGGGTTTTCACCGGACGTGATTACGTTCAACGCCGGGAGCAACGACTGCCGCCAGCAGTACGAAATTGACACGGCGGGCCGGCGGGTACGACACTTGCTGGAGGGTCTGTGGGCGGCGTCGCCGCGGACTACGATTGTTTTGTCTACCTTGGTTAGGAGTGCGGACGAGAAGGCGGAAGAGGCGGTGTCGCGTGTGAATGAACAGATTTGGGGGATTTCAGAGGAATTAGTTGCGGCGGGGAGGAAGTTGGTGATGGTGGATATGCATGTTAAGGCGTTGGGTTTGGAGCATTTGGCAGACGGGACGCATCCCAATGATGAGGGATACGCGGAGATGGCGAGGATTTGGTATGATGGTATTAAGGAGGCTGAATTAAAAGGCTTTCTGTTGTAGGAGTGCTTGTGGGATTGTTATTTAGTTTTGTAGAGTTGTCTTGTTCCGCTATCGGAGCTGTAGGGTAGCGGTTTAATATGTTCAAGTCGCAGTTGTACAGGAGACGCCTTGATGGTCTGGTTGGTAAGGCAAACCGGACATGGACAGAGCACGAAATGGTGCGAGTATTGCGTTGGAATTTATGGCGAATAAGATATCAATTAATGATTCATGTGGCAAGGCTGCATAGCGAACCGATGGTCTAGACTGCCGCTCCAGCCACTGGTGGAAACCGGCTCCCCAGGTCCGGAATTCTGACAGCATCGGAGATGTTGCTCTTGTATTCTAGAAGTTCTATTACCAGCTCCACAGTAAATTGCGCTCACGCCCCACTAGGTAGTGCGTGGCTATTAGGCTTTGTGTTAGTATAATATATTGGCGTAAATTTAATAATAAGAGAATATATTATGCCATTAATCACTAACTTATATTATGGGGAGAGTTTAAATGCAGTAAATAGTAGGGGGATAAGCGCACCTAGCAAAAAAGAGTGAGTCTGCCTGAGCAATTCACGTTCCAGATATCCACATCCACGACCAGACGCCTTACACCAGCCCGCGATCCACCCAGATGTCAAAAGTGGGTCAAAGGGCGCGCAGGATTTAAGCAAGATCCGAGCCCGCGCAAATCCAACTCCGATCTTGGCTTGTACTAAAAATGAGTAGCCGATGCCGGGTCCTTGTATAAAGTCATGATGATGCGCCTCCACGATTCCCTTTTCCACGACAGTTCGACATGAGCCACTCTCTTGTCCATTAGTTCGAAATGGCAGTTGCAACGGCCACATCCTCGACGATTGAATTGCGCCACCAGGGCGATTCTACCCCGACCTCGCTCCAGTGCAATGACCGACAGGCCACGCCGCCGCCCGAGGAGGACGGGCTGGACGTAGATGGGAGACAGGAGTTTTCGCTACCGCCCGTGGACGGGGGCAAGGACGCATGGTTCTTCCTGGCCGCCTGCTTCTTCGTCGAGGCCTTGACGTGGGGTACGTGTCTCTGCTGACCCCCAAGTTGCTGGAGTTGTCATAAACTGCCGATGCTAAGACCACGCCGCAGGCTTCCCGTTCTCGTTTGGCGTCTTCCAGGACTACTACAGCACGCACGAGCCGTTTGCGGGATCAGAACAAATCCCCATCATCGGCACCTGTGCCATGGTGCGCCGCCCTCCCCCATCCCCCAGCCCCATCCACAAATGTCTTAAGTACTCACGCGCGCGCAGGGCATCATGTACCTCGACATCCCCCTCGTCATGGGCATCCAGAGAATGTACCCCTGGTTCAGCAGGTGGTCGCCCATGCTGGGCCTCGTGCTGATGTGCGTCTCGCTGGCGGCCAGCTCCTTCTCCCAAAACGTCGGCCACCTCATCGTCACGCAGGGCGTCTTCTACGCCATCGGCGGCTCCATCTCCTACTGCCCGTGCCTGCTGTACATGGACGAGTGGTTCGCCCGGCGCAAGGGCCTCGCCTACGGCATCATGTGGTCGGGCACGGGGCTGGCCGGCTTCTCGCTGCCCCTGATCCTCGAGGTCTTCCTGCACAAGTACGGCTTCCGCACGACGCTGCGCATCTGGGCTGTCGCGCTGCTCGTCCTGACCATGCCGCTCGCCTTCTTCATCAAGCCCCGGCTGCCGCGGGCCGCCACGACGCACATCAAGCCCTTCAAGCTGGGGTTTGCGCTGACAAAGACGTTTATGCTGCATCAGATTGCCAACACCGTCCAGGGGCTGGGCTTCTTCCTGCCGGGTATCTATCTGCCCACGTATGCGAGATCCATTGGCGCGAGCAGCTTTACCTCTGCCTTGACGCTGCTGCTCGTCAATGTTGCCTCGACAGTTGGCTGTGCCGTCATGGGCTCCCTGACTGATCATTTACATGTGACTACGTGTCTGATGATATCGGCCGCCGGCGCGGGACTGGGTACGTTTTTGTTGTGGGGGTTCGCCACCTCCATCCCGGTCCTGTTTGTATTCTGCATCATTTACGGTCTGTTTGCGGGCCCGTACACGTCGGCTTGGACGGGCATAATGAAGGACGTTGCTACCGAGATGGGCACCTACCGCGGTACCAGCGGGGGAAGCTCGTTTGACCCAACCATGGTTATTGGCGTTCTCTCCACGGGGAGAGGAATCGGGAACATCGTATCGGGCCCCTTAAGCCAGGTCTTGGTCAAGGGCATGCCGTGGAAGGGAGAGGCCCTGGGTGGTTACGGAACCGGCTACGGCCCTTTGATTGCATTTACGGGCGTAACGGCGGTTATGAGCGGTGCGACATTTGTATGGCACCGCGTGGGATGGATGTAGGGCAATCAAGTATATCTGGGTATATCAAGGTACGATGCAGTCTGTGCGGATGGTGGGATAAAAAAGCTTGGTTTAGACAAAAGTTCAAGAACATCTATTCATCAGTACGCTGGACGGCCCCGTCTTTCGACGCTCCGATACGCTAGCTGTGCCGTGTACACCATGTTTGAGAACATCCAGCCTCGTACATGTCCAGTCCTTGTCCAGCCACACTGGCTTCAAACACCTCTAGGCAGAGTATACTAATATACTAACACTGGGCTCTTGCCCAACCGACTCAGATGTCAACCGTCTTGTCGCCGTCAAACCCCACGGCCGGTTCCAGCCTATATCCTCGCTGATTTGCCAAGAGGCGAATCGGCGGCACGGCCCCGAACGCATCCGGCCCCCGGTCCGCGAGAAAGTCGCAGTTGTAGTGCGTGTGCCCAAACGCCCACAAGACGACGCCCCTGTTGACAAAACACTCCTCCCGGGACAAGTCGGTCGAGAACCCGCACTTATACGACTCGTCCACAAACCGCGGATCAACCGCCCTCTCGTCCCTCGACGGACTCCAGTGCGTAAAGATGGCCATCCTGAAGGCGGCTTCGTGGCCCGACTCCTCCTCCAGCGAGACGACCGTGTGGTTCAACCACTCCAGGTCGCGCACGTGCGCCCTATGATGATCGCTCGTGTTCCCCTGCTTGGTTCGCAAAGACTGACTCGGGCGCTCCATCGGCCGGTCGTCACCCGTGCACCGGAGGCTGGAGAACAGGCTGCACCCCAGGATGAAGGTGTTTGTTTTTGGAATCTGGAACGCCCGCTTGTCCAGGAGGACGAACTCGCCGAGGAGGCTGCCGTCTTGTCGGGTGTCGTCTTCAAAGTCCTCGAGGATCTGGGTGACCTTGTCCCAGGTTGAGCCGTGTACCTCCTGGCCCCCGGGGACGAAGAAGACGATGCGGAACTTGCGGAGCTGCGCGCGCAGGAAGCCGAGGCACTTGTCCTGTTGTGTGGCGACGTTGCCAATGTCGCCGAGCAGAGCGAGGTATTTTGTCCTCGGCTCGATTATGAAATGCTCGTAATCGTCGTCTTCTTCCAGGTGAAGATCGGAAATGATTTGAATCGTTGTCATGGCGAAGTGTCTGCGGGCGCGGCTGGAGGTCGTCGTGATCGGCAGGCGGCGCTGGTCGTGAAGTGCAGCAAGGGGTGATGGCATGCAATGCCCGCTTTTGGAGATGTACCGCGCGGCTGGGTAGCTATGCTGCTAAGGATGCGTCGAGTATGGCTCCGGGATGGGGATATGGGTTTATTTGCGCGGCTCGAGGTTTCGCTTGTGCGGAATGGAGAAGGAGCAGAATCTGCCGTCTCCGCGACAACGTTGGCGTTTCTAGCCGGAGCTGCGACTTGGAGTTTGTACACTGGGAAAGAGCAGCATGGAGGGATGGTCTGCGGCAGAATATATTCGCCTAAAAGAGTCTGATAGACTACTATGCTGTGATGTATTATAGTATAGGGCGCGATGACCAGGTATCTGATCTGGTCCCATACTTTTTACCAACACTAGACTCAATTTATTCTTGTGTTGGGCATTGAACCTGAATTGATGACTATCTAGGCACCTAGGTAGATAAGCAGACCTCTTCTGTGCATACAGGCCCTACTTTTGCAAACCATCTCGTCTGGACGTACTCTGCGGATCCAAGTATGGCTTCTCGCCGAGTCCAACAGCCCGGTTACCGAATCGCTCCCCCTGATCGTCGTAGTCGAACGTGGCGGTGTGGAACACGCTGCGGTTATCCCAGATGGCTGGAAGCAATGTTGTCAGTGAGCCCTTGGTCATGTACTACATCCTGATGAGTGGGTGCAGGCAGCACACGTACCGATATCATTAGGGTTCTGCCACTTGAATCGAACCTGCAAATCGTGGTTGTGGTACACCAGGTCCAGGAACCACTGCAGCAGGTTCTGGCTCTCTTCCTTTGTCACGCCATTAATGTGCGATACGTGCCCGCCGACGGGGAAAATGCTCTTCCACCCGGTCACCGGGTTGGTTCGCACAACGGGGTGAACGGCCTTGAGCTCGCGGCCGACGTTCTCTGGAGCGCCGCGAGGCTTGTCGTATAGCTGGAAGCCTTGACGCTCGGCTACGGCGCCGAAACCAGGCTGCTCAAAGGTTACAGTGAGGGTCTCGAGGAACTTTTGGTAGGGCTCACTGATCTTGTCGTAGATTTCATATCCGGATGCCCAGAGCGTGTCTACCCGTCCCCAGTCCTAGTCAGTACATCAACTTCGTATTTGGATGACGGGGGTTAGTCGTAATCTTACCACCGCCAGTCTTGGGGAGCTGCACGAGACGCAACGAGGTATAATCCGCCGGCACAGGCTCAAACGCAATGTCGCTGTGCCACTGGGCCGTCGTTTGCTTCTTTGGGCTCAATGCCTCGGCCTCAGTGTTCTTGTAGTACTGTTGATGCTGGACGGAGCTGATGGTGCTAATCTCGGGGTCGCTGCCGCCGAGCTCGCGCTCAGAATTGAGAAGGGGATGAATGTGCAGACCGGACGTCTCCGGTCGTCCAGTCAGCTTGCCGAGTCTGAGGATCAATTCCTTCTGCAGATCGTTGGTGAGGTCATCTTGTGCTCGGAAGAAGACGACTCCCCGCTCCGAGACTTTGAGCCGGGGC